GGAGGTTGTATCCAATTTGTGGAGGATCTTGAATGCCAGGTTATGACATAATGCCTTCTTGTGATCCAGAGATTTGGTGTAACTTGATATAGTTTTCTAGGAAAGAAAGTTGCTGAGTGAAAATAAAACACTTGCAAGGGCTGCAAAAGAAGCAATGAAAAAAACTACGTTTCATTTCAGTCAAGGCAAGGAAGTAAATTCAGTGTTCTAGAAAAGAGTAGAACATTTTCTTGACAAGAGAACAATAATTCCAGAGAACAGAAGAAGAAGGAAAATGGGGCTTGGTAGGGGACAGACAAGGAAGGATGCAGGCTTTGTTGGGCAGACATGAAAAAATGGGAAAACCAAGCTAATCCAAAGGGTCTAAAATTGGCATAGTGAAGGGATAATTCAGGGAAGAGAAAGGCAAGAATGTGGGAGGCAGACAGATTGGTCATGGACAGAATAAAAAACCCAGGGTTCCTGTTGGAAGTCTGGTAAAGTTATAGAATTCTGAAGATTTCTTCCTTCCAGGTGTTAGAAAAAAGCTAGAGGAATTAGCACTAGGCTTCTGCTACCATAGGAAGCTGGGCTTTTTGTACATTTTCCCTAAGATCCCCTAATCTCATAGCCATAATGTAGACTCTTGCAAATACTCATTTTCTCTATTTCCTCTCAATAATTCACTTGATCTTAGAAAAGAGTCCCAGTTGCTTAAAGTATACTAAGATGCTGTGGCCTGTTTTAATGAACTGTTCTCCCCTTATATAATTGACCCAATTAAAAGATCACTTTAATAAGACTAGAATTAGGCCAACCTAATGGGCTATTTGCGTTTGACTACTTGTATAGTGCTCTCAGGTAGTACATAATCTGCTGGATAGGACTGGAAGTAATAGAAATTTGGGGAAATTTAGAAAGGTTGTTGAATTATCAACTCTAATAACATTGGTTCTTTTTCTCTCTGCAACTGTGAAGATTTTCACTAGGGGAAACAAAAAAGGTGTAATTCCAACAGGAACTCTGAGTTTTAATTAAATGCTAGTAACAATAGCAAATTTTGTTATAACAACCATAGAATCAGTGAATTTCTTCTTTAGAAGGACCCTTAAATATCACCTTGTTTCTCTTTATCCTGAGGCTTGAATCTACTCCATACCTTCCCCCATCCCGCCCCGGCCCAGTGAGTGTTCAGTCATTTGGCATCCTTTTCCTATTCTGCTTAGAATTTCAGAGGCAGCTGGTTCCATCATGAAATGGCATTGGCTGATAGGAAAAAGGTTTTGGATTTTCTTCTTAATGGTAAGCTGATGTGTAACCCTCAAGATTTGACTCCTTGATTCTGGTTTGACCCTTTAAAGCTATACTGAGTAAATCTAATCCTGCTTTCATGGGCCTTCCCTTCAGATATTTGAAGGAAATTCTCGTATCTCTCCTGAAGTTTATCTTCTCCAGGCTAAATCTCTCTCCAACTGTTTCACATGTACTTCAGATGGCATGTTTTCAAATCCCTTAAACCATTTAAATCTCTCTCCTTATTTAACGCACTCCAGCTTCACTTTTAAAATGTATCATTAGGTGTGGTCTGGCCAGTTTAGAGAACAACAGTTGTAATGTTCTAGGACATTATAGTTTTTTAATGATGCTAGATTTAATTATTTATTTGGAAGCTATAGCATTCTACTGACTCATATGAAACCTATTCCCCATTATTTTTTTCATATATTCCTAGCCAAAACTGAAAGAGGGGATATAAAAGGAGAAAAGTGAGAATTTGGGAGATTGAATATCCTACATTATTGACTAGTCTCCAATCAGGTCTTAATTTTTTGCCGAAAGCAAGTCATACTATTTCTATATTTTATTTTATCTATAATGAAAGAAGATAAAACTATTTTACTTCATAAATATATGCCAGTTGCCTAAAATCTAGATGAATAAATTCTAATTTGGAGTACACATTGGAATCACTGGGGAATATTTTTCTCAAAGATGTTATGACTGCCTCACCCCAGGCTAACTAAATAAGCATCAGCAAGGATGGTTTCAAAGCATGCATAGCTTGGAAAAATTTCCCAGGTATGATGTATGTCCATGGTTATAAATTGCTACTTTAGATACACTCAAAAATAAATTTTTCTGTACTAACTTTGTGCTAGGCACTGTTGTAATCATACATGCTATCTCTAGCTATTTAGAAACAACTATCTAAACAGAGGTAAACATATCACCAAGTAATTAAGTAGTCTATTTGCATGGTCACTTACCTTTAAATACCTGAGTGGCCCAGCGTCCTTGGAGCTCTGAAATGGGCATAATGGCTCCTAAGGGCTGAATCAAGCCTATGATTGCAAGAGTTGGCCTTTCCAGGTTAGGAGGGAAGACCCTTTTATACAAGGATATCTTGTTTTTGACCACTTTGACGGAATCTTCCAGAAATGGAAAGGCAAAGCTATAGCCTGTGGCAAAGATAACAGCATCAATGTCATCCTCCCTGGAGCCATCCTCAAATATGGCAGCTGTCTCCGTGAATTCCTTCACATTTCCTTTCACTTTCACCAAGCCAGAAATGATACGATTTGGCAGGTCATCATTTACGGTTGGATGCTGACTCAGAGCTCTGTGAGTGGTGACAAAGATCAAGTGAAGGAGAAATGAGAGAAAGAGAAATCAGTATCATATAAGTAAAATTTTGCTTTGGTGGAGGTAAACAGTATGCCAATAATCTTCCCCTTGGTCTATGCATGAAGTTTGGGAAAGGTCTAATTTACACTAGGTTGGCACAGATGAAGATCAGAGCTGAAGTTGGACCCTGGATGCACTGAAAGGGACAGTGTTGGAGGGGTGAAGGAAGAGTGTTGTTTGAGGAGTGGATATATGATTTCTCAAGTAACAGTAATATTCTGTGTGTGATATGATAGGGCCACAGGTCAATAGTTTGTATCCTCATATCAAGAAGTCTGACACAACTAAGCTGTCAACATTCCGCTCAGTCTCATTTCCAGTTTCAAAGGCTCAAGAGCTAGGTTTAGGCCACTGTGTTCCAAACTGTATAATAAATTACATGTATGTAGCAACTTACAGTTTGTAAGTAGCTTTTATATGCATTAACTTATTTGACTCTCACAAAACTCTATGAAGGAAGCAGAACAGGTGTCATTATCCCGGTTTTGTAAATGAGGAAATTGAGGCCTAGAAAAGTTACGTGACTTGTCCAATGATACACAGCCTGGGATTTTAGAATTTATCTCAAAGTTGTTTTCAATGAATTATCTTGGTATACTTTGGGCCTGTTATTGTTTCCTAGGGACAGCGTAGGATATGGATACTGGAAGCATTGGGTTGGTGCAAAAGTAATTGCTTTTTTTTGCCATTACTTTTAATAATAATAAGGCTGGTTCCTAGTATCATGGATCTTTCTAAAAAGCAGTCTTTTTTTTTTTTTGAGATAGAGTCTCACTCTGTTGCCCAAGCTGGAGTGCGGTGGCACGATCTTGGCTCACTGCAACCTCCACCTCCCAGGTTCAAGTGATTCTCCCGCCTCAGCCTCCTGAGTAGCTTGGACTACAGGCACCTGCCACCATGCCTGGCTAATTTTTGTATTTTTAGTAGAGACGGGGTTTCACCATGTTGGCCAGGCTAGCCTCGAACTCCTGACCTCGTGATCCTCCCACTTTGGCCTCCCAAAGTGCTGGGATTGCAGGCATGAGCCACAGCACCTGGCCTAAAAAGCAGTCTTAATGCCTGAATACTAAATTAACTCATCTTCAGATGGAGCTATCCTGGCCTCAGAACTTTATATGTTTAAATTACCACTACTGGTTTGTTGCATTTAGTTATGCTTTGACACTAGGTCGATTGTGTTCTGCATTCCAACCTAATGATTTCATCATTTTCTCCAAACCTACTCCTTTTCACCAGCAATACCACCATCCATCCATATAGTTGCCCAACCCACAAAACCATGAGTCTTATATCTGGTCACCAAGCCTTTTCCCTTTCTCCTCTTAACATCCCCAGAATAGTTTTATCTACTCTTTATCTCAACCAGATGATACAATTGTCTTTAGGACCTCCTGTCCCATCCCACTCCCACACCATTTTCAAAATGGTCTTTCTAAAATGTATGTATTATTATGTTACTCACTTGCCTAAATCTTTGAATGGCTTTGGACTGTCTTCATTCCATACTTTTTATGTAGTAGAGCAAAGGTTGTCATGCCTGATGAACCTAGAGATACATTCAGTCACTCTTCCATCTTTGCTATATAGTCCAGCCATTCCAGACTACATGCAGGTCCTGGAGCATTATGTACTTTTTGCTGTTCCGAGACTTTGTTTTTATAATTAGAATGCTATTCCCTTGTTCTATTTGTTTGGCTATCTCCTATTATTCAACAAAGCGTCAATTTATTTTGCAACCACCAAAAACATGCATGCTAAAATAATTAGGTGAAAGGTTTTTAGGAAACACAGTCTCCAAATGTCACCACACTGATTAACTTCAAAGGGAAAAAATATCTTTATAGTGGAGAAACTCGGTGGTATCTATACCACCTTATCTAAGTGGTCAAATTTAGCATAATTACTGTGAGAGACGCTGACATCATGTAACTCTTGATATGACCCCCTAAGACCAGCATCCCCTATGTAGTATATGTGTAAAAAACATTTCACCTGAATATGAAAAAGGAAGAAAACTATGCAAGTCTAAATTTAGAGACTCTCTACAAAACAATGCCTTGGGTTCTTAAAAAGAAAGCCCATGTCAAAGAGAGAATTATTTCAGATTAAGAGAGATTAAAGAGACATGACAACTAAATGTAATGGGGTGATTGATGACCTGACCAGAAACTCGATTTAAAAAGATTTTTTAAAGCTATAAAAAATATTATTGGGGCAATTGGGGATATTGCCAATGTAGTAGATAATGTATTTTATCAATGTTAAATTTCCCAGGTGTGATAATTATATGATGGTTATGTAGGAGAATGCCCTTTTTCTTATTTGATATACACTGAAGTATTTAAACTGTCTTAATGACTGTAACGTACTCAAATGGTTTCAGAAAAAAAAATGTACTTGTGTATGTATGCCCTATATGTGTGGATGTATCTACAGAGAGGGGGAAAGAGAGGAAGCAAATATAGCAAACTTAACAGGTAAATCCAGGTGAAGGGTATATGGGTGCTCATTGTACTTATCATTTTGCAACTTTTCTGTAGATCTGAACATTTTCAAAAATAAAAAGTTGGAGGGAAAATAAATTTGGAATCAGCCTCTAGAAATGTTTTCCCTCCCTGGTTCTGTGAGGACCCCATCCTTTGTACTTTCATAGCGCTCTATGTATTTCTTCATTATACTCTGTCCTCTTTCTTCTCATTAGAGAATTTAAGGTAAGATCTATTTCTTGAGTCTGCCATTTATTATTTCTGTTGCCCTCGGGAAAATTGCTTACTTTTTCTACATCTCAGTTTTTATATCTGTAAAATGTAGATAAAAAATTGTGGAGGCCAAAGCAACTCCATCTTAGAAGCTAATCTACCATATTGACTTCTGATCAACCCTGGTTCCAGGAATACCTCTGAGATTTCCAGTTAATCTGTTGTTTAATAGCATGTACTTACCGTAAATCCCACTCTTAGGGCAAACTCCTACCCATTCGCTCTGAAGTATGTGTGCTCCTCCCCTAATGTATATAATCCCTGGGTCGGGAGGTAATGGTGTGGGGATCTACCATCTTGTCTCACCACTGCCTGAGACAGACATGGCTTCTGTTTGTAAGTCCCTATAAAATGTTTCTAAGAAACTGAATCTGTCAGCTTTTTCTTCAGTCTCTCAGCTTCCTCAGCCTTTGGAGTAGGTTTGCATTGACCTCCTCACTGTGAAACAAAAATAGTCCCAACTTATAGGGCTCTTGTAAGGATTAAGTGAGATACTGCATGTAACTCATTTAGCACCGTGCTTATCTTATAGAAAGTCCTCAGAAAGGTGAGTGTTATTTCTATTACTATTACTATTATGTCTTTTCTCTCTGTATTTCATGCCCATGTATGATGCCTGGCTCATAACAGGTGCTCAATGAGTAAATGATGCACTGCCCTCAGCTCCTATTTTGTTGTTGGGCATCATGCAAAAAGAACTGATACCTGGGGGAATGAGAAAAGCGTTACTGCCAAAGAGAATTCTAGACTAAAAACCCACAGAGCAATAGATCTTGGACATCTGTGGGTACAAGTTAGAAATCTGATTTCAGATTCTATGAGTCTATAGGCTTTCTTTTTTTTTTTTTTTGAGACGGAGTCTCACTCTGTCACCCAGGCTGGAGTGCAGTGGCACAATCTCAGCTCACTGCAACCTCTGCCTCCAGGGCTCAGGCGATTCCCCCTGCCTCAGCCTCCTGAATAGCTGGTACTACAGACAGGTGCCACCATGCCTGGCTAGTTTTGTATTTTTAGTAGAGATGGGATTTCACCATGTTGGCCAGGATGGTCTTGAACTCCTGACCTCAGGTGATCCACCCGCCTCTGCCTCCCAAAGTGCTGGGATTACAGGCGTGAGCCACCACACCCAGGCACTATGGGTTTTCTTAATGTGTGGGTAGAGGTAGCTCTACTATTAGCCAGTGTGAAGAGTCCTTATTCTTGTGCTTTGGCCATTATCCCTGTACTCCCATCCTGGGAACATACCTGTGTTTAGGCTTCAGGCCAAACATTTCATGGTCAAACCTTTGGTTTATCTTTGTTTCCATATATTTGTTTGCTAATGATTGGCCACAGATCTTCCACATAAAATGTGTAAGTCGAGAAGAGAACAACACATCAAAAGGATATCCATAGTTCGCTACACGATTCAGGATCCAAGCCCCTCTCCTGGTGCTGAGGAAAACCTGGGGCATGGAAGAAATTGTTTGCTTTTGTCACTCAGATTCATAAACTTTCAAAAGCACCCCTATTTTCTTCAAGAATCAGTTCAAACTCATTAGTCTGGCTATTTAACCCCTGCATAATCTTTGTGGGTTTTTGTGTTTGTTTCCTGCCATTTTCCTTCCCAAACACTAAATGTACAATTAAATTGGTGTATCTACTGTCCAAGAATATGTCTTGCTCTAATCCACCATTGTATTTCTGTTTAGTGCCATTATGCCTGCCTGAAATGCCTTCTCTCTTCTTAACTCTCCAAATCCTGTTCATTTTAAAGACCCGGATCAAGACTGCCTCCTCCATGAAGACACCAGTGACCATTCAGGCTGACAATTTTCTCCCCATCCTCTGAACTTCTCTAGCACTTATCACCTGTAGAACTCATTAAAAATCATGTACTGGTAAAGTTGAAAGCAGCTGGAGACCATTTAATCTAAAACCCTCATTCTTTTGCCATTGACATTGTTTGCATTATTATAAAAACTCCTGCTATTTATCATTTTTGTTGATATTAAACTTTCTACACTCTTGATTTCTGTCTCTTCAAATGTGTTTTCTCAAGGGTAGGAGATAAAGCCTACACATCCACAGCAGATTATCATCACTTCTGTTTATTGGGATTTGTGACCTTTACATCATTGTGCTAGGTCCTTCATCTATATTACAACCACCTCCTGAGGAAAGTATTATTACACCCATGTTATAGATGAGGGGTATGGAAAGGATGAATAACTTGCCTGAGATCACAGAGCTAGTAAGTGGCAGAGCTGAATTTCCAACCCAGGTCTGACTAACTCCAAAGCCTGTGCTTAAGAAATGTTTGACTGATTATTTAATGGAGAAAAATAAGATTGCTAGTAGAACAACAGGAAGCTAGTCAGTCTTTCTGTGTCCTCTGCTGGCTGAAGTCCATGTTCAGAGCTGATAAAGATTTGATATTCAGTTACCTGGCAAAAGAATCATTTTTCCTACATTATGAAACTGTCTGGAGATGGCTTCCAGATGGTAAGTTATGTAAGTACATTGCTTCATAGTCTTTTTGTCTGAGATGACCTGTCTACAGAGGGATAATTGTTTACTTCACAAATCTTATCTTCCCTGTGGTGACTGTAAGCGCTGTGATAATTATGTACTTCCACAGTCACAGTTGAAAGGGCATATATGGTCTTAGAAATTGAACAGTTTTGTGTGCCAGCTATATAATTTCTGATGAGTAATGAAAACACTCACAGCCCTTATTAAAAGGTTTCATATTTATGAAATAGTAACAATAATACATAGATCACAAGGCTGTTGTGATAATTAAGAAGTGTTTTTGTAAAAGTTGTGGTATATAGTAAACACTTGATAAGTGCTTAACTGCTGTCATATTTCTTAATTCAGTTTTCCATTTATACCTTGTTTTAAGCAAATACCATTTACAAATCAGATATATAAGGAAAATTGTTTAATCAATGTAATCTTATATGAAATTAATATTGAAAGAAAGGAATGTTTTCTCTTTACAAAAGCATCCACAAGAATTATATGAAAAACTTCCATGATATACTGAAACATATAGGTCCATTTAAAATGTTTGATTTATAAACAAATCTTCATGAATACAATTTACAAGTAAAGCAAAAAGTTAGAACTCAGCAATTGAGTTTCTTCAGCTTGCATTAGTGGTGTGACAGTATTGCCTCTGCTATGCAGACACAGTTTTCCTTTGCATTTTCCCAGGCTTTCTCACAGACACAGCCACCTTATGCAGAAATGCTTTGTTATTTGGCAACCTGCAGTTCCCCAGGGCAGGTAAGGCCAAGATCCCTTAGAACTGCCCATTTGACAAGCCAATGATATTAAAGAAAGCTCTTGCCATGGGTCCCCACTCTTCCTTTTTTGCACATTCTTCTACCATAACACCCACACATGTTTTAACCCTTGTTTATATAATTACTTTAATTATTTTTAATCCTTGTTTTTATATTGTTATTTCCTGATAAATGTCTGTTGAATTAATTCATGAAGTAACATATGAAATAATTTTTGTGGTTGTAGATGAGGATAGTAATGAGAAGAAGTGTTTTTCAAACAAAGTTGCTGAGTAAGAGTCATTTAACAGAATTGTAGCACTAAGCTTCTCATTAAAATAAAACAAGTTAAAACATCTTTGTAGAGAAGCATGGCTTAATTAAAGTTACTAAAGAACAACCAAGATGTTTACCTATTGCCAATAGAGTTTAATTCAATAAAGACATTAATAACAAAATACAATATTGGCATGTCTTTTTCCAGGAATTCATAGTGAAGACACTTGCTTCTCAGTTCAAAATCTGCTATACAAAAACCAAAACGAACAAAACAAAAAGCCAAGGAGATATAATTGCTTTAGAATGAATGTTATTCTGAGTTACCCAACTGTATGCAAAGGCAGGGGCAAGCTGCTTGCATGTGCTACGGTTTGGACGCTATACGGATACCCACATTGTCTTTGGGAAGATAAGATTGCTTCTTTTTGGGGAGTGTAAAGGAAAATTCACCCACTATCCTATGAGTGAAAAGTTTCTAATGATCACAGCGTGTTTTCCTTTATATAAGAACATAGCACTTCTGCTGGCCAACAGAAGATCCTCACTCTCAATACTGCTCTCTAACAACCTCCAGCAATTACTTGGTCTTTATCAAAGCCAGAGGCACACTCTAAGAAGATGCCTGATTAGGATAATGAGCTCAGACTTTCGCCGATCCAGTTCCTAGGTATGAGGCCAGCTGCATAATGGAACTCTAACTGGCAGCCTTAACTCCTCTATTAGCATCAATCACAATGTTGCCAACTGAGGTAATGAAACCAAGCCCTACATTTGCCACTGGCACTGATGGGCTATGTGCAGGTATCCCAACTCTCTGTTGGGCCCATCTGCGGCTTCCTTGGAGAAACTGAAGCTAGAGTTAAGCAAAGTAAATAATGGAATGATTCAAACCTGCTTGGCTGTGTGGCTAATCTCTACAGCCAGATCCCCTCCAGAATTCCCAATGCCAATTATAATGACTCTCTTTCCAGTGAATCCCTCTGGGTTCTTATAGTCTCGACTGTGGAAGTACTGCCCTTTGAACTTCTCAATTCCTGCAAGAGAAGGGAAAATAATTATTGGGTAATGGTTTATATGATGGATATCATTTGTCAAGTCACGTGGTCTTTTTGCAGACTTAAGTTTAAGCATATATTCTCCAAGTGTTCTCTTTACTCAGCTACTTTCTTGCCTTTCTCAGTATTTTTGCCTATTTTTTTTCCCCCATAACCTCAGAGTAGTACCTTGTGATTTCCTTGTCATAGGTACTTTGCTTAACTCAGGATGTGTTTGTATTTTGGATTTAGAGACTATAAATAAAAACTGCCTCAGAAAACCTCCATTCTCTTTTGTCTTTTCATCCCCTTAAATACCTACTCCCATTTCACTTATAGCACATATATTCTTATATACTTTAGAGTATACAGAGTACTTTTTTAAAAAATGAAAATCCAGGCCAAAGACTGAAGTTCTTCAAGCTTTCATTCCTTCCTTAGAAACTCAATATTCCTGTTTATTGCTGAAAAATTCCTCATTTAGCCTAATGCTCCTCAAGAACTCCACATTCTTCCTTTTGATACTTAGAAAAACTAAAGTCATTGTAAAACTAAAGAGACCTCACATTTTGCTCTAATCTCCAAAATTACAAAAATGACAATAATACAAGTTACCCCAACATCTTTCTGGGGAACAAGAAGAATTAGGGTAAGTCTTACTTCTTTCCAAAGTAGGAATTACTCAGACTACAATCCTCCCATTCCTTAGGGGTCAGGTCACAGGCATGGGTCAAAGGTCTTCCTTCCTGGTAAGTTGCTCACCAGGGAAGCTTTCCAGAGGTAGATGAGCATCGGTGTGATGGCCAGTGCAAACCATGACTCCATCAAAGACATTCATCTCCTTTTTCCCTTCAGACTCAGTGACCACTTCCCATTGGCCTGAAGTTGAAAAATCAGGCTGCTTCTTCACACTGCACACAGTGGTCTGAAAAGAAAAGTGATAACCACAGGGACATCCCTGACATGGCTCTCCTTGCACAGTGTTACACAAAGGGCTGGTATCACAGGTACTATCACATAATAGGACCCACGCGGGATATTTGATTTTCATATTCCACAAATAAGAACTGTTTTGTGTTGGGCTGTGGTCAGAATGAGAAAACTTCCCCAAGACGGAAAAAAATAACATAGTGTTGGCAGGCTAATGTACCCTTCTCTTCTAGAAAAGTGCAAGTCACTAGGTCTCTCGGTCCATGTCCTAAGGCACTGTAAGACCTGATTAAAGCCTGGGCTTCTCCTGTGTTTTTATGATACTCCATGCACTAAATGCCTATTCTTCTCCTGATCCCTATATGTCCTAAGATCTTCTGATGTCTTCTTACCCCAGGTTCTCTTCTCCTGGCCACCTTTAAACAAGTGACTGCCTTTTCCTGGCAGGGTAGAAAAACACCTCAGTGGCTCTCACTTTACAGAAGTGAATCTCCCTTTAGCTCCCATAAATACCCATTTTACAAGGAACTATAAAGAAAGAGGCTGTGAAATAGGATAGTGTTACGACTTTTAACTTTATAAAAATAATAAATATGGGTTACCCTAACTAGGTTAAGGAAACAGTATGTGCTTCTAAGGGCCTATGACCATAATGTCTTCATGGACTATTAGAGATACCACCCCTGGCCAGGTGCGGTGGCTCACGCCTGTAATCCCAGCATTTTGGGAGGCTGAGCCAGGTGAATCACCTGAGGTCAGGAGTTCAAAACTCACCTGGCCAACATGGCGAAACCCCGTCTCTACTACAAATACAAAAATTAGCCGGGTGTGGTGGCACGTGCCTGTAATCCCAGCCAGTTGGGAGGCTGAGGCAGGATAATTGCTTGAACTTGGGAGGTGGAGGTTGCAGTGAGCCGAGATTGTATCACTGTACTCCAGCCTGAGCAACAGAGCAAGACTCTGTCTCAAAAAAAAAAAAAAAAAGAAAAAAGAGAGAGAGAGGGAGAGAGTGACCACCCCTGCATGCCCTGGCCATCCAGCACTATTTATAGTTCCTCTATCATGTTCTTTTTTACACAGGCTGGTGCCTCTGCCTAGATCACCCTTTTATTCCTTATTTGGTAGATTCCTACTCATCCTTCAAGACTCAGCTTTAAGAAAACTTTATCTCCTTTAAGAAAACTTCCCTGGAACCTGTCCTGTTGGGTTCAACATCTCTCCTCCGAACTGCAACGTATAGATCTCTAGCATTTGTCCCCATGTAACTCTTTATTTTTATTAATTATATTTATAATAAAATTTTTCTTCATTTGTTACCCCTTAAGTAGACTATAAAGTTACTGATTTTTCTTTTCTGTCTTTGCATATTCAATGCTTAGTATGATAACAAACTTGTTCAATAACTATTGTTTAAACAAATGAAGAGAAGCATTAATGGAATGTAAATGACTTATTTTAGAAGTTCACTAGATGTTTTCATTTTCTTATTGTCGTTAAGCAGAAAAAGGCATGAGTTAGCAGGATGATCAGAAGGCAGAAGCTTTGGGCTTTTTGCCAGCTGTCAGAAATATCTGTTCTTTTATGGTCATGATCAGAAATTATAGAAAAGTCCTAGAATACTTTAGAGCAGGAAGGAACCACGGAAGTGATCTAGTACAGTTATCTTGTTTTACGAACAAGAAAATTTTGAAAAATTGAAATTGAGGAAATTGCTTGTCTAACATCTAAGTTAGTTAGTCGTAGGGCAAGCACCAGAATTCAGGTTTTTGTTCTGCAATTCCATGTTCTTCCCTCTACACCAAAGTTAACTATCCAACAACTATACTTCACTGGGTTTTATGATGTTTATGTAAACAAATGTATTGGAAAGTACTTCAGAAAGTACAAAAGGGCAAAGCAGTAAAGGACTGTGGAACCAGAAAGTTTTAAAGTTCCCATACCTATCAGTTCCCTTCTGTAATGGGGAAAGCAATTCCCTTCATCTGTTTATTGCAGTTATGTGCAAATAATGTGAAATGAAGGTGATGAAAACACTCTGCCAGGTGGCTTCCTGTATCTGCAGCCAAATATATGAAAGCGAGACCATCCCTTGAATATTTTTGAGGAGCAAGGAGGGCAAAGAATGGAGTTTTTCCCTGGGTAGGATAAATACATGTGCAAATCAAGCCAATCTTTAGAAGTAAACATTGGTAATTGAAATCACATTATTCATTTACTTAGCAAACAACATCAAACACAAAGATATCCACACAATTTTCTACCTTAAATCGAATATACTTTAGAAGGTCAAATTCTTTGGCATACATCCTGAAATACTCCAGGACCTGGGTGTTATGCATGAAGTTAGGATAATGATCTGGGATTGGATAGTCACTGAAGCACATCATCTCTTTAGAAGTATTGATGATCACTGATTTGTAAATACTGGCTCTTCCTTCTTCAGGATTTTCCTGCAATAAATCGAAAATATTCATAGCAACTTGAGAATCATCTTCATGTTTTATAAATAGCCAATAAACATCTGAAAAAGTTTTCTGAAGGAAGTGTCAGTCACACACACACACACACACACACACACACACACCCCTACCTTCCAGTATTTGTGCCCTTATCTAGTCCCTTCCCTTTGAATCTCAGTTATCTTTATGACTTGCTTTTGACCAACAGCATACAGTTGAAATGACACTGAATGACTTCTAAGACCAAGTCATAAGTAGCCTTGCAGATTCTGCCTGGGTCTCAGAAAGCTCGCTCTGGTAGAAGCTAGCAGCCATATGAGAAATCCAACTACCATGAGACCACCATACCATGAGGAAGTCCAGCCTCACCACATGAAGAGAATGTCTGGGACAGAAGATATGTGGTCAGTCCCCAGAAATTCTACCTATTCTATTCTATCCCAGCTGAAGTTCTAAATATGTGAAGACAGTGTTACTAACACTGAGTAATAGTCTTTTAAATGAGTAACAGTGAGGCAAAATGGGAACATATACAGGAAAGAGTATAACAGTTTCCATGTACTGGAAACAGTATAACATCTCCACTGTTTTCTGGAGAGCAGTGTCAAAATGTATATGAAACTCCTTGCAATTTACCTAGCCTTTTAAAAAAATATTCAGCATTGCTGAGGAAGCTTTATGTTAAAGGATGTTAATACCAGCATTATTCATAATATAAAAATGAAACAAGCTAAATGCCCAACAAAACAACTGAAATTTGAGAACCACTGCTCTAGATCCTTACTACCAAAGTGTGGCCTATAGACTAGCAGCAGGGGCTTCACTTGAGAGATGGTGTTAGAAATGCAGACTCTCAGGCCCCACCTCAGACCTACTGAATCAGAGCCTGCATCTTAGCAAAATCTTCACGTGATTCAGATGTGTATGCAAACTGAGATGCACTGCATTAGATGACATTAATCCCCAATTCAGTGTTCTTTCCCCTACAACAAACTTCTTTGCATCCTCAAAAACTTCCTATTGAGGCTGGGCTTGGTGGCTCATGCCTGTAATCCCAGCACTTTGGGAGGCCGAGGCGGGCAAATCACCTGAGGTTGGGAGTTCAAGACCAGCCTGACCAACATGGAGAAACCCCGTCTCTACTAAAAATACAAAATTAGCTGGGCGTGGTGGCACATGCCTGTAATCCCAGCTACTCAGGTGGCTGAGGCAGGAGAATTGCTTGAACCCGGGAGGCAGAGGTTGCTGCAAGCTGAGATTGCGCCATTGCACTCCAGTCCGGCCAACAGGAGCAAAACTCCATCTCAAGAAAAAATAAAAAAATAAAAAAAAAAACTTCCTGTTAACTACCTTATAGCATTGTTGTGGTGACCACATAAAGTAATGCAATGATGCAATCTACCCAAACTATTATTCTGTCACAGAGATTTCACAAATGAGGAGTTTTCAAATTTTTAGATTTTCAAAAATTGTTTTGACTATGGAAAATCACCTTAATCAATTTGCATATCCTCCTCCCTTTTTATTCTAGAAATGAACAGATATTGAAATATTGAGTATTATGAAACATTAAATAGCCACAAAGGAGAGTGTTTGTTGGCTTTGTCCTCCTCTAGGATTGATTTTCTCCCATTTTTATTGCATAATTATTCAGTCTAGGAATCCTAAATTGATCATTCCCATTTCTCTGACCCATAATCCAAAATCTCATTTCTTTAACTGCTAATAACATTTTCACAAGTCTCCTTTGAAGTCTCTTCTTCTAACCTATCCTACCTATTTCAGCCAAAGCATTCTCTCTAAGGTGTGGCTGGACTATATCTCTGCCCTAATTAAAATTTTAGATGTTGCCCCATTTCCTGTAGAATAAAGTTCCTATTTCTCAGCTTAGGATTCAAAGACCTCCGTAATGTTTTGTAGTGTATTCCTTATCTCCCCAACTAGATTGTAAGCCCCTTGAATTGTACTCATGGTTTTTCCCCCAGCATCCACAATGATACATAGCACTCAATAAATGTTTAATGGATGCATATCAAATTGTATTGAGAAAGGGATATACAGAATAAGATGTAAGTTTTGCAAAATGCATAACAAAACTAATAATATACATCAACATTTATCTCAAAAAGAGTTCAATAAGACACATGTATCTCCCAAAATTTTGTCCTAAGAAAAATTGCAAAATAATATAAAGCCAAATGCAGAAAGACATATTTTTGTATAACTTAAATAGCAATTAATTAGTAACAATGTTAAATGTTCCCAAAATAGATGAATGGTTTAGTAAGTTACAGTACCTCAACATGCAGAATTTTTTTAAGTTTTTCTTTGAGACGGAGTCTCGCTCTGTTGCCAGGCTGGAGTGCAGTAGCACGATCTCAGCTCCCTGCAACCTCTGCCTCCTCGGTTCAAGCAATTTTCCTGCCTCAGCCTTCCCAGTAGCCGGGACTACAGGCGTGCGCCACTACACCTGGCTTTTTTTTT